CAACTGACCGACTGCCTACCCATGAAGTGCCTGGGAAGTCCCTAAGTACTTCCTCGGCCTGCCTCCTGACTGCAGGAGGGCGAGCAGGCCGAGGAGGCAGCTCTTGCCAATGCCGAAGTGTGCCAGGGGCTGGCGTGGGAACAGTCTATATATAGGCTGTTCCCCAAAACCCTGGTTCGGTGCCTGAGTTTCAGGGCCGGTCGTTCTGATGAACGACCGAAAATGGCCCTTGGGTTCAGGCTAAAAATGCTATTACCATTTTTAGTCTGAACCGTCGCAGGGGCTGTAGGCCCTGAAAGTCAGGCTTTCGGCCTGAACCGACATGGGGCCTATAAGCCCTGGATTTCAGGCTTTCGGCCTGAAATTCAGGCTTTTGGCCTGAAAACCGTCGGGCCTGCAAAATGGCCCGTGTGTGCACGCGCTGCATGTAACACTACGGTAGCGAACTTCGAAACGTCAAAAAAACTGTGAGAGAGCAGGAGAGAAGCTAGCAGCTACGCAAACACCAGAGACGTGTCACAGGTTATTAGCGAATAGCGAATAGCGAATAGCGAATAGCAAATAGCAAATAGCTAGAAATATCTGCAGGACTGAAAGAGATGGCTATGGTTATAATGGTACTGAAATGCTGAATGCGAAAAACAGGCACAGACACAGAAATAGCATGGACCTGGCCTCAGACTGTACTATTTATTACCTTAGGAAAGGAGCTGATTGGGCATGTGCGATACATAGCATGTGCTATATGGATAGCCACATGCTATGCATAGCATATAGCCAGATGTATGGTAAGGAGTCACTCCCTTTGCAACACAGCAATTTACTTTCTGCTTTCTAGGTAGCTCCGTTGCTTCCTAGGAATACAGCAGGATTTTGATGACTGCAGAGTCACGGACCTCTTTAGAAAGTGCAACTCTGTGTGTGTGTGTGTGTGTGTGTGTGTGTGTATGCTTGTTTTTTTTTCTTCTTTCTTCTGGTTCTCAAGTTATTCTGCCCACACAGTCCAGCCACTTCAAGCACCTGCCCTCCTCTCCCTTACTGCCCACTCTGGTGGGTATTTGTGGCATACTGCGTAGCCACACGGGCCTGCAGGGCCCGTCCCGCATTCTCAGCCTAAAAGCCTAGAAATAAGGGCTTAGAGGTCCCGTGTCGTTTCAGCCTGAAAGACTGAAAACGAGGGCCTGCAGGCCCTATGTCATTTCAGCCTAAAACAGGGCTTTTCAGCCCTGAGGCTTTTCAGCCTGAAACGGAGGGCCACTTTCGGGCCCTCATAAGATCGACCTGCCCAAACACTCAGGCACCAAACCAGGGTTTCGGGAACAGGCTATTTCTGGCCTGTTCCCCACGACAACAGGAGTTGCAGCGCCAGCCCCTGGTTCGCCCTGGCATTGGCAAGAGCAGCCTCCTGGACTGCCTCGCCCTGCAGCTGCAGGCAGGCAGGAGGCAGGAGTAGTAGTACATAGGGAGTTCCCATGCACTTCACGGGTAGGTAGTTGGACAGAAGGCAGGAGGCAGTCTTCAGGATTCGGCCGCAGCACTCTGGAGGAGCGCTGCAGTAGTAGTTTAGCGCTAGCAGTAGTCTTCAGCGCTGGGCGCTAGTAGCTGCAGGAGTAGTCTTCAGCGCAGGGCGCCAAGTAGTGGTAGTGGTAGTAGTGTTGGAGAGAGATGGCTGGCGGAGGCCAGCGAGACTTACCTGTGGCGCCATAGCTCCAGCTCCATCTTCGAGGTACCTGCATCAAGGCGCCAGCTTCACAGGTTAGTACCGGACAGAGAGAGAGAGATAGTTCTTCTTCTTGCTCTTCTAAGTCCACCATCTCTTCTTCACCCTCTCCCTATCTGACTTCTCAGATCTGCGGACTACGAGAGAGAGAGAGAGAGAGAGAGAGTTGTGACTTGAGACTTGACAACATTGGATCCAGACTCGACATTGGGATTCAGACATTTTGACGAGGGACTATTTGGGCCTGTGCCGAAGACTTGGTGTTGGCGACATTCCCATCTTCCCCTCTTCTTCGTCTAACCCCCCTCTTCTTCGTCTGTGTATGGTTGGGGCTGGCGCATTCTTCCTGTGTGAGCGCCAGACCCCTTCACACCATGGAGTGATGATGATGATGTATGTTCGGGGCTGCATTGCAATATTGATTGTTCGGATCATTGGTATCTAAATCTTCCACTACGCTATCTTGTACTTTGTGAGAGAGGTCGGTTCTTGTTCTGGTCTGCACCGTTACAGTATGCAACAGTATTCGACCTGGCCATCCTGTGTCCCAGAAGTCAGGCCTCCAATGGATCCTCGTTCAAGGAGTTTACGACTGTTCTCATTCCAATTACCGGACTCGAAAGAGCCCAGTATTGTTATTTATTGTCACTACCTCCCTATGTCAGGATTGGG